ATTTCATCTTATTTATCCATCAAGTGCAGGTGTGAATGTTCAGCAACAGTATGATATGCATGTTGGGGTTACATTTCAGGCTGACTTCACATTAAATGACAAGAGTAAAATGGGATGATTTTACGTCTTTTGCGGATGTGAGGAACAGCATCGGTATGGCATCGAGGTGATTGCAGGTTAGAAGTGTACAGAACGGACGACAACACGGAATTAAGTGCTTCAGAGTCTGCATGGTCACCTCCAAACAAAATAATGGAACTTTTAACTGGAACGAGATTCGTCCCATGATCGGCTGGAAGGTATTGAAAAACTGATGATTTAAAAAATGCTATGCTTCTGCGTCCCAAGTCCCCTGACTGAAATAGTAAAGGATAAGAACAGCACATAATCAGAGTTTGACAGGCGACCAAGAAAACTAATGCGAAGCAATTCTTTTCCCATATATAATAATGCTACTATAAACCGAAGACGCGTCCATTTGTATCCCAGACTACCACCTGTCAAGATAGCATCGTGCTGATCAGAGGCTACGAGAAATGACTCGCAGTTGCTCTCTAAATGTTGATTCACACGTTGATACAGCTGCGAAAACAACCATGCGCGCTTTCAAAGACACATCGCTGACGTAGCACATTTAGTGAGTAATTCCTATCACAAACGAAATCATTACCTTATAAGAGATTTACAGGTGGAAATTCCTGCACCGCATAAGAATGAAAATTCATCGAGACTATAAGTCCGAGTCTACAGAAGCAGTTGTGAATGAAAAATATCTATCCCATACAACATATAAAATTGGAAAAACAGTGAGTGATACTTGGTTCAAAATGTACTTTTCTGTGATTCATGCGCACGGTAGATCATAATCCTTCCCTAAAGGTATCCTTCTATATATTGAAGATATCCACAGGTATCAGAAGGGGTTTAGATGAACCTGTTCTGAAGCAGAACTGTACGTGTCTCAACGAACATCTATCAAATCAAAAAAAAGAAAAATTTCATTTTGCTGATTTACTTTGCCTCCCATCGCATTGTTCAAAATCTACATAAGAGTCATAACCTGAGTTATAACCTTCTGCAGTTTGTCTAGACGGTCAGCTTGATCAGAGACGTAAAGAAAGCCTAACGGTAAGAAGTGCTGAAACGATGTTCTTACAGAAATTCATAGGAATTTTTCATTAATATTCATGAAGCATATTAATTTGTCATGTTTATTTTTTAAAAAGACGAAGAGATTCTTCACTTTGGTTCTGAAGACAGTTCGTCGTGGTACTGTTTTGCCTAGAAAAATGTGTACTTAAGGCTTATGGAGTAGTATAAGCGGAGTGTCAGCTCCTGAAAACTCGTTTGCGATGAGCGCGAGGTGGCTCTAGGGGATAAAATGGTACAAAAAGCGTATGATACTGCTAGTGCTCAAATACCACTGGGCCATAGTGTATAATAACTCCATCCTTCCATACTACTAGGAGCAAGAGGGCATTGCAGCATGTCGCAAAGTCCGGTTTGGATGAGTCATTCGTTATTTTACACACTCGGGCGTACGAACAACATAGCTTACAATGTTTATAGGCTAGCAAACAAGAAGTACTAATTATTGAAACATCGTTCGTGGTCAGAGCCAAATGGCTCCAGCCGATAAAATGCATCTGGCAGTGCATGTGCTCAAATGCTATGGATCTGTGGCTCTTAAACGATCCCTCGGGCAATTATTACGCCGTGAAATCCGGTCTTATGCGTTAAGAATCTGTTTCAAAAATTATGACAAAATTTAAAATGCAACTTAAATAGATACCTGGCGTCAACGATCTCTTAGCTTGCTTAAAAAGCTGCCGGTCGCTGTCCACTAAAGAAGTTCAACTAATGCTTGTAAAATGCTTTGTCAAATCTACTGAAAAAGTGGGAAACATAGTTTATCATAGCAAAGCTTATTTTCTGCCATCCTAATTAATGAGCTCGGAGCAACTGCGAATCGCGTTCTCATCTTTGTAATCGTACAGAAAGAAGAAACTGGCACACTTCTTCCCAATCTTATAAGGGAGACAGTCCAGGCTCTCATTTTTTAAATTATGCAATGTTTTTGATCATGGTTTCCATGTCATCAGTCAAATATGCTTCATTTATTAACGCCGAAAAATGTCTATCTGCCGGTCAACTGAATTATTTAACTGGAGAAAACGAAAGTCGAAGTCGTGATCTTGTACAATAAAGCTAACTCAGAAACCTAGCCGTCAGAACTTGAATCGATTAGCTGTTTAGTCAATTGTTAATAGAATATCTTGCTGGTTATTACCTGTTTTACCTCCAATTTGCTATTGAGTGATTAGAGGTGAGCAGGTTCGAACAGCGAACAACTTCTGCCGGTGCGTAGCCACAGAAGAGCATTGTCCTGTTTTGCTCTGGTCATTAAACTTGGCTTAATTTCGATGTTTGTAACCACTGAGTCAATCATCCGGTTTTCGGTTTTCAAGCGTCTCAAAACGTGTTTGTAACTGTTAATTCCTGGAGCAAGTGTATGTAAGGACCATGCTTCAGACCTGGATAATCTTATGCCGAAGCTGAAATGCTTTCACGGGATTGGGAAAGTTGGAAACATTGTCTGAAGTGTATGTGTCCGCCATCCAAAAGGGTCAACAGTAAGCAGCCATGGAGACCGATTTCCTAAATGGCATTTCAACGGGAAATACGCATTAGTTTAGTCAGTCACGTACTCTGAGTTTGAAACCAGTGTAACACTGAATACTTGCAATAAATACTACAGTTGCATTTTATTTTTACCATTTACTGGAAAAAATATTAAACAGTTATGTTCGTACGAAACTACCTTGATTAGTGAGTACTTTTTAAACAGACTTTAAACTTTGATTTTGGATCGGTTCTTGGAGCAACACAGGTAATGCCGATCCGTGAATTACGGCAGTCAAACACAAAGACAGTTGGAATAAGGAGTTTTCAATTTCAATTTCAATTTCAACCAGCTTTCCGTCAATGCAGATTTTTATTTTTTATGATTGCGCAAACTCTGGCCTGCTCGCAACTGCAAAACGTTGTCATCCAACACTCTTTACAGTGGCCATCGCTACAGCAGTAAATTTGACAGCTGACTGGTCAAGTACAGTAGCAGCTGGAAATATCGTAGAGGGGACAATGAACACATTGTAACAAATGTTCATTATCTGGGAACACATTTTAAACACGCTGGTTACTGTAGAAGCTCACCGTTTCATTTGGGATTGAGTACGCATGTCTTAATCTGTTGGTCAGCATATGAGCAGTCTTTTCTATAAAATAAATTAATTAGGCTGATCAGCGAATTTAACTTATTTTGCTTTCTGCACGTGTTGTTTCCAGTTTAGTAGATTCCTTACAAGCACTAGTAATCTTGACACCCATCCCACAAACAGGTCCTACGTTTTAGACCAGAGTTATTCAGTAGGCAAAAAGATAGCCCGTTGAGCCACTTTTCATCGTTCCAACGAAGGTAAATAAGTACCAACTAATGGGAACAAAACAACCGTATAGTGGTCACTTAACAGTAAACAGAGTCGTTAAAAATAGAAAACCAGCAAGATATATTGGTAGACGAAGCGCTAACTTAGAGGATAGAGCCGATCCATATTCCTGATGAAAGAAGATCGTCATAAAAAGTGCCCAATCAGGAACGCATAAGGGAGACTGTCACCCAAACCTTCCGATTATAACCTTACTGAAACGAGCTGCACTTCATTCGTTTGGCGATACACCCTGCGACTTCGTACAGGAACGATTACGGATTCAAGGGAAGATTAAGGTAATAAGCTTTCTGCGAGTTTCGATCTAACCGTCGCCCGAAAAACGCGTAGGCCAGCCAGGCGAAGCGTCATACTAAATCGTCAATTCCTTTTGGAACACAAAAAGAGTGGCATGAGTAACAACGAGAAATATTATCCTCCGTTCAGAGTAACAGAGCAAATATAGATGCACAAGTTTGGACAAGCTCGATATGTTGGTTCCCAGATCTCGAGTGGCGCAATTGCTATTATTCTATTTCTACCCCGACACATTATCCCTCTGTACAGTGTGGTTTTTTCCAAGTTTTCGTCAGCTATTCGACGGATGCTTCCTTCAGAAGTGAGTTCTGGCGGTAGTCATGCGAGATCGACGGCGACACCATTGTCAGTTACTATCGCCACTCGCCCAATAATCTTAAGCTTACTTTCGCATGAACATTACTTTCGCAGATACGGCGAGACCAGTGGCAGCATCAAATATGTATGAAGCCCATGTAATCCGAAATATCGACCTGTATATAACCCTGCTGTAAAGGGTAAATCTTTTGAAGATTACCGTAGTGAAGAACTATCGACCAACATGAAGGATTCAAGTAATATTTTTCAAGTCAGGTGAGCGCACGATGGTAATTGCAAGTTACTCTAACCATATGCCCTATTTAATCGTACAATCCTTTCATTATAGGTCATATGGGTGACGGCTTTAAGATGCTTACGCAATGTGCAAACATTGTCAAGCCCATGATCTCTGACTCCATTAGCATATTATTCACTCCTTCCAATATGTATATTATTTCTTAAACTGTATAAGTCTCCAGATGAACGTGAGCGTTGAATGGCCTTCAAGAACGAAACAACCTTATGATTTTTTTCTGATCGCAATGAAGACTGGTCGGCTAAGACCTGCAAGAAATGAGTTTCTTAGGCGATGGTTACCAAGGGAGATCGAGAGAGCTCAGTCGGTAGAATTAAAGCGCTTGGATTTCAAAAGCAGGTAGATGGATGACTAACACTCCATGGGAAGAGAATCAGAAAAAGACTACACGCTAGATATAGCTGTCGGTACAATTTAAAACAAAATAAGCTTGAGGCTGAAACTGAAGCAAAAATTTTACGAAAGAACGGTGCTAAAAACTGTAGTTAATGAGAAAAGTGTTAGGTATAATAGTTTCTCAAACGTTTCATGGTTCCCCTTTCCTTTCATCAAGGATAATTTCGCTGTAGGTCATTTTGTCATTCAGTACAAAAATGAATGTACAAAACAAACGGCAAGTTTATCGAAAAGGAAGAAAGAACTGGCGGAAGGCAAAGCGACGTAGACAGAAAAACATAACTCAGTATTACTTGACTCTCGAATCGATTGCGGCGCCTGGTGATTCGGCGCTGTACGCTTTGCTGTGCCATCTCGGTCCGACAGCGGTTTTTAGGAAAATGGAGAAAATCATCGTAACACGAAACGATTACAAAACCCGGGAAAGAGAATTCGATGACTGTCGGAGATTCGAGATGGCACGCAGACGAACGTCGCCGATTTACACCACAAAGTGATGGCAAAGCAGCACCGACAGCGAAGAGGAGGAAGGAGAACGCGTGAGACCGACGAATAAAAAAACACACAAACTCGTTTACCTGTGGAGAGCTTTTGGACGACTGCATTAATTTCATGATCAAGTTCAGCGTCTCTTGACGAACTTGCAGTCGACTGTCGCCCAGCCGTTCGACCAATTCCGACAAGCTATCGGTCAGATACGGCACGAACTCATCGCCTAGGACGTCCATCGAAGCGTTCATTATCTCAAGGGCAGCGAGCGCTACCTGAAACAAAGGAAAAGCACTCAAAACTCGGAGGTTATTAGTTATATGCAAATCGAAACTTTGTAGTTGGTTCCGTGCAGCCACTGGGCCGCAACGTCCATGAAGGTTGTCAGCGTACTTGAGTCACCAGGCAGACCATTGGCCCGAATCTCGGCCAGAATCCTCTTGCCCAACTCCAGCCTTACCTTCGGATCGGTGCTGTTTTGGCCAAGTAGATCCGCCAGCGCGTTCGACGACATCTCCCTGCTTCGTCTGCCTATCGCGGCCTCTCGTTTAGGTCATGTAATGAAACCAGATAAAACTATAAAAATTTCACGCGATAAATCGACGACAAAACTTAGAAAAATTTACACAGTAAAAGTACTGGCAAATTTCCGGACAAAGCCAAGAAGCTCATGCCGCAGCTTTTCGCCTACGTTCCAAAAACTTCAACCATATTTGAGACACAGACAAACACAAAGAACGCCTATTCAGCCACCCTTACCAAGCACGCTAATTGTCTATCTTCGAACCGAACGAAAGAATACAGTATACTTAACATTTTCGTGAGATTTTCAGGTCGCTTTGTCATGAAACGCATAAATTACTACAAATGACTAAATTAAAACTTAAGAGGTTTGTTCGTAATTCGCAGAACTAACCTTCGATAACTTCTCTCCAAGAAAACAAACTGAAACTTGAGAATTAAGATGTTATAGTGATGTGTATGTGGAATCAGAAGAAATGTCAAGTAATAAATGAATGGAAAGTGGCAGACAACGGGTTTTTGCATTTCAGTGGCAGAGTCATAGTAATTGGCAAGGCTCACAGATTCAATGACCTCCGTTCCATAATGCTCAAAAATTTAGGGGAATAAGTTGTTTTGCAGCTAATACGTGCCTGTCAACCTTCAAGTGTCACAGGACTTGTGAGCTGGCGTGTTAGTATCCCTATCAAAGAAGACCATTTGAAGTGCTCCAGTTATCGGGTTATTACCTTATTGGGCCGTTATGGAAAGTACTGCTCAAACGAACCAAAAAATGAGGTACCATGAATTATTGGAC